TATTTTTTAATTATTTATTTATTTATTGTGTGTGTGTGTGTGTGTGTGTGTGTGGCCAGCTCAGCCCACCAGGGGGCGGGGCAGGCTGGCATGTGGTGCTGGGGATTGAACCACGGTCCCTGTGCTTTGCTTGTTCTAAGTAGGTGCTTTAGACCACTGAGCCATCTCACCAGCCCCTGCAGGGAGAACTTACACCAAGAGGCTCCATGTGTATGAAACCAACATTGTGGAAAGCAGAGCAAAAAGCAGACATGTCAACAGCATTGGCCAGTGCACCTGAAGTCAGCCCTACCTGGCTTTCTAAACTACATGAGCCCAAACTTTAGCCTAAACTGGTTTGAACAGCAACACAGTCATTTCTCACACTGCAGATCATAACCCAAAGCCTGATATTTCCCTTTCTTTATTCACAAACCCCAAAGCAAGGAAAGCCTGGTTTCCTCTTCAGAGGATTGGTCAAATTGGTTGTCTAGGCTGGCTAGCCACTGTGGGTAAAGTTTATTACCAATGTTGGAGTTGAGAATATGACACCCCCCCAGTGAAGGCCTCAGAAGCAAAATTCCTCCCTGGCCTTCTCTTACTCTCCTCCCACCCCTCCTTTCCCCATCCTCATGCCAAATCCAACGTAGCTCTTGAAATTCTGGAGGGAGGACAGTGGAGGATGAGGAAATGAAAACAAGGGTCAACATGCAGCAAGCGGAGGTCAGATGGAGCCCCTCTCCTGACGGATGAAATGATTTCCCAACAACTGCAGTGCATTTACTTATACAATCAACATAAGAGGCCATTTACAGAGAATTTCAAGGGGAGAATAAGAGCCAGAACAGGAAGAACATCTCATGTTCAACAAAACGCCATCCCTTGGTAGTCACAGAGGGAACAAGAGAGGAGCTGTGTATGTTATCTCAAGGGAAGTCCAAGTCACTCGTGTGTCAGCTTCCTGAGCTGTGTACACTTCTCATGGGTCCCTGCCACACTCATAGGAAGCAGTGACGTTGTCCTAGATACTCAAGGTACAGTTTCATCCCCAATAACCCCACTCCCAGGGGTTCCAGAGAAACTTGAATTCCTCTTCCCCAAGGCAAGCAAGGACAGAGGTACACATGGGTAGTCCCAGTTACCCAGGAGGCTGAGGTGGGGGGACCTCTTGCATCTAAAATTTCAAAGCTTGGGCTGGAGAGATGGCTCAGTGGTCTAAAGCACCTACTTAGAACAAGCTTAGCAAAAGCATCAGGGACCGCGGTTCAATCCCCCAGCACCACAT